TTTATTTTGATCTGTGGCGCCGTTGTCAATACTGGCCCCCGCTTCCAGAAGAGTGTCTACCACATTCGCATGACCATAGAATGCAGCAGCCATAAGAGGTGAGTTGCCCACCTTATTCGCCATGTCAACACTTGCACCCTTCTCGAGAAGCATCTCAACAACGGAGAGATGGCCATTCTCAGAAGCGATATAAAGGGCGGTGGCCCCATTGGGATGTTGCGCATCAACGGTGGCCCCAGCTTTGAGAAGAATGTCCACCACATTCTCGTGGTCATTAAAGGCCGCAATCATAAGTGGCGTCCAGCCCTCGTTATCCGGCATATCAATATTTACTCTTTTCTCGACATCTAGTTCAGCAACAGCGACATCATCACAATGCTGTGAAGCGCTGAGTAGAGCAGTGGACCCATTACGATATTGTGAATTAATGTAGGCTCCACCTTTCAAAAGAATGTTCACCACATTTGCATGACCATTGGAGGCAGCTAGCAAAAGGGGTGTCCAGCATTCCGTAGTCAGCATATCCACACTTGCGCCCTTGTCGAGAAGAATCTCAACGACTGGGAGATGACCCCGATCAGCAGCAAAGTTTAAAGCTGTATGCCCATCTCCATTTTTCAAATTGATGTTAGCTCCAGCTTCGAGGAGAATGGCCACCACATCCGGATTGCAGTCTCGGGAAGCTGTCATCAATGGCGTCAATCCCTTGTCACCGCTTGGTAAGTTGAGATCGTTGTAGGTATCACGCACGAGCGTTTTAATTACCTTGAGGTCACGACGTTCGCACGCAATTCGTAAAGCTGTGTCTCCATTTCGGCTCTTCGTGGCAATACTGTTGCATGATGCGACTACAATCGGAGCTGCCGGTGGTGATGGCTGCGATACATTTTCATTCTCCAAAGTTTGCATATAAATGAGGTGCACAAGTTCCAAGTAGCCACTGAAGTACGCCACAGTCAGCGGTGACCAATTCTGGAAGTCTCCACATATACTAATATCCGCTCCATTATCAACAAGAATTCGAACAACAGCCAAGCGTTTATACCAAGCGGCTGTGATCAATGCTGTTCCTCCATTCGGCAAACGCGCATTCATGTTGACGCCTCGATTCACTAAAAATTGGACAATATCGGAGTATCCCAGTTGGGCAGCAGTGATGAGAGGAGTGTACCCTTCCTTGTCGGCTAGTTCAATCGACGCTCCACGATTCACGAGTTCCACGACAGCATCGAATTGACCGTGCTCACACGCAATATTTAGAGCTGTCGACCCATTTGGTCGCTTGAAATCAACATCGGCTCCGCGTCGTACCAATTCCTTCACCACTCCACGATGTCCTCGCTCAGCGGCTCTCATAAGGGAAGTCCAGCCCTCACCATTCGTCAAGTCAGGAGAAGCACCACTCGCTAGCAAAGTGGTAGCCACAGCTGCATGGCCTTGCAATGCCGCGCTGATGAGCGGACTAAGACCTTCCGAATTAATATGGTTTATCTTTGCCCCATGCGTGATAAACGACTCAACTATCGGAAGATAACCGTGCCAAGATGCATATAAAAGCGGTGTGGTTCCACCTTCGAGCTTGACATCGACATTGGCTCCTGCTTCAAGAAGAATCTCCACCACGATTGTATGACCATTTCTGACAGAACTCATTAGAGGGGTCCAGCCCTCATTGTCTGGCAAATCGACACTTGCACCGCTCTCGACAAGTAATTTGACAATGGAGATGTTGCCTTTACTAGACGCGATATTAAGCGCGGTGGACCCGTTGGGACTCTGCGTGTCAATATTAGCCCCAGACGTGAGAAGAATGCCCACAATATGCTCGTAGTTAAACGAAGCGGCGACCATAAGGGGCGTACTGCCGTCCACATGCGGTATGTCGACATCTGCGCCATTCACAAGAAGTAATTCAGCAGCAGCAAGATATCCCCAAAAAGAAGCCCAGTAAAGGGCGGTGAATCCGTACGAATCTTGTGAGTCAACTTTGGATCCAGCTTTGAGCAGGATGTTCATCACGTTCGTGTGGCCATGTTGGGCAGCGATCATAAGGGGTCTCCATTTCTTCTTATTTGGCGTATCAACACGTGCACCTTTCTTGAGAAGTAATTCAGTAATAGCAAGGTAGCCATGTTCACAGGCGATGTGAAGAACAGTGTCTCCACTGGGAAGCTGGAAGCCAATGTTGGCTCCAGCTTTCAAAAGGATGTCCACCACATTGGTGTTGCCACGGGAGACAGCGAACGCAAGGGGTGTCTTGCCGTCTGCACTTGTCACTTCCAGATTAGCGCCATGTTCAACCAGTAAGCTTACCACTTCAGTGTGGCCAGT